GGAAAAATAAAATCCTTTACAGATAAGCAATTATTGAGAGATTTTGTCATCACCAGACCTGCCTTACAAAAGCTCCTAAAAGAAACACTAAGCACGGAAAGGAACAAGTACTAGTCACTGCAAAAGCAAACCAGTTGGCAAAAACCAAAAATGCAATGAAGAAAATGAGTCAAGTAATGGGAAAGAAAACTAGCCAGTAACAAAATGGCAGGATCAAATTCACACATAACAATATTAACATTGAATGTAAATGGCCTAACCGCCCAAGTCAAAAGACACAGACTGGCAAACTGGATAAAAAATCAGAACCCATCAGTGTGCTGTATTCAGGAAACCCATCTCACATACAAAGACACACATAGACTCAAAATAAAGGGATGGAGGAAGATTTAACAAGCAAATGGAGAACAAGAAAAAGCAGGGGTTGCAATCCTAGTCTCTGATAAAATGGACTTCAAACCAACAAAGTTCAAAGGAGAAAAGAAGGAAACTACATAATGGTAAAAGGATCAATCCAACAGGAAGAGCTATCCTAAATATATATGCCCCCAACACAGGAGCACCCAGATACATAAAACAAGTTCTTAATGACCTAAACCAAGATTTAGCCTCCCACACAATAACAGTGGGAGGCTTCAACACTCCACTGTCAGTATTAGACAGAACAACAAGACAGAAAATTAACAAGGATATCCAGGACTTGAATGCAGAGCTGGACCAAGCAGACCTAATAGACATATACAGACCACTCCACCCCAAATCCACAGAATATACATTTTTCTCGGTACCATATTGCACTTACTCTAAAATGGACCACATCATTGGAAGCAAATCACTCCTCAGCAAATGCAAAAGAACAGAAATCATAACAAACAGTCTATCAAGCTACAGTGCAATCAGACTAGAACTCAGGATCAAGAAACACACTCAAACCCACACAACCACTGGGAAACTAAACACCTTGCTCCTGAGTGTCAACTGGATAAACAACGAAATGAAGGCAGACATAAAGATGTTCTTCAAAACCAACCAGAATGAAGACACAACTTACCAGAATCTCTGGGGCACCTTTAAAGCAGTGCCAAAGGGAAATTTATAACAATAAATGCCCAACAGAGAAGAGAGGAAAGACCTAAAATCGACACCTTATCATCAAAATTGAAAGAGCTAGAGGAGCAAGATTAAAAAAAACTCAAAAGCTAGCAGAAGACAAGAAATAACTAAGATCAGAGCAGAACTGAAGGAGATGCAGACACAAAAAACCCTTCCAAAAAAACAATAAATCCAGGAGCTGGTTTTTTGAAAAGATCAACAAAATAGACCACTAGCCAGATTAATAATAAAGAAAAGGCAGAAGAATCAAACAGATGCAATAAAAAACGATAAAGGGGATATCACCACTGATACCACAGAAATACAAACTACCATCAGAGATTACTACAAACAACTCTATGCACACAAACCAGTAAACCAGGAAGAAATGAATAAATTCCTAGATACTCGTACTCTACCAAGACTAAACCGGAGGAAGTTGAAACCCTGAATAGACCAATAACAAGGGCTGAAGTAGAGGCAGCAATCAATAGCTTACCAATCAAAAAAAGTCCAGGTACAGACGGGTTCACAGCCAAATTCTACCAAACGTATAAAGAGGAGCTGGTATCAAACAATACAAAAGGAGGGAATACTTCCTAGCTCATTTTATGAGACCAATATCATCCTGACACCAAAACCAGGCAGAGACTCAACTAAAAAAGAAAACTTTAGGCCAATATCCATGATGAACATCAACACAAAAATCTTCAATAAAATACTGGCAAACAGATTGCAACAGCACATCAAGAAGCTTACCCATCACGACAAAGTAGGCTTCATCCCGGGGATGCAAGACTGGTCCAACATACGCAAATCCATAAATGTAATCCATCACATAAATGGAACCAAAGACAAAAACCACATGATTATCTCAATAGATGCAGAGGCCTTCAATAAAATTCAACAGCCCTTCATGCTAAAAACTCTCAATAAACTAGGTATGGATGGAACGTATCACAAAATGATAAAAGCTATATATGACAAACCTACAGCCAATATCATACTAAACGGGCAAAAACTGGAAGAATTATCTTTGAAATCAGGCACTAGACAAGTATGTCCTCTCTCAACACCCCTATTCAACATAGTATTGGAAGTTCTAGCCAGAGCAATCAGGCAGGAAAAAGAAATAAAGGGTATTCAATTAGGAAAGGAGGAAGTCAAACTGTCTCTATTTGCAGATGACGTGATTGCATATCTAGAAGATCCCATCGTCTCAGGCCAAAATCTTCTCAAACTGATGGGCAACTTCAGCAAAGTCTCAGTATACAAAATCAATGTGCAGAAATCACAAGCATTCTTATATACCAATAACAGACAAACGAAGAGCCAAATCAAGAGTGAACTTCCATTCACAATTGCTACAAAGAGAATAAAATATCTAGGAATACAACTGGCAAAGGATGTAAAGGACCTCTTCAAGGAGAACAACAAACCACTGCTTGATGAAATAAGAGAGGACACAAACAAATGGAGAAATATTTCATGCTCATGATTAGGAAGAATCAATATCGTGAAAATGGCCATACTGCCCAAAGTAATCTATAAATTCAGTGCTATCCCCATCAAGATACCAATGACCTTCTTCACAGAACTGGAAAAAATCACTTTAAACTTCATATGGAATCACAAAAGACCCCACACAGCAAAGACAATCCTAAGCAAAGAGAACAAAGCCAGAGGCATCATATTGCCTGACTTCAAACTATACAACAAGGCTACAGTAATCAAAACAGCATGGTACTTGTATCAAAATAGAGACATAGACCAATGGAACAGAACAGAGGCCTCGGAGGCAACATAACACATCTACAACCACCCAATCTTTGACAAACCTGACAAAAATGAGCAATGGAGAAAAGAGTCCCTGTTTAATAAACGGTGTTGGGAAAACTGGCTAGCCACGTGCAGAAAGCAGAAACTGGACCCCTTCCTGACACCTTACACTAAAATTAACTCCAGATGGATCAAAGATTTAAACATAAAACCTAACACCACAAAAACACTAGATGAAAACTTTGGCAAAACTATCCAGGACATAGGCGTAGGTAAGGACTTCATGACTAAAACACCAAAAACAATGGCAACAAAAGCCAAGATAGGCAAATGGGAACTAATTAAACTCCAGAGCTTCTGTACAGCAAAAGAAACCAACATTAGAATGAATCAGTAACCGATAGAATGGGAAAAAATTTTTGCAATCTACCCATCTGACAAAGGGCTGATATCCAGAATCTACAAAGAACTAAAACAGATTTACAAGAAAAAAACAAAGAAATCCATTCAAAATTGGGCAAAGGATATAAACACACACTTTACAAAAGAAGACATATATGAGGCCAACAAACATATGAAAAAATGCTCATCATCACTGGTCATTAGAGAAATGCAAATCAAAACCACAGTGAGATATCATCTCATGCCAGTTAGAATGGCGATCATTAAAAAATCTGGAGACAACAGATGGTGGAGAGGATGTGGAGAAATAGGAACACTCTTACACAGTTGGTGGGAGTGTAAATTAGTTCAACCATTGTGGAAGACAGTGTGGCAATTTCTCAAGGATCTAGAAATAGAAATTGCATTTGACCTAGCAATCCCATTACTGGGAATATACCCAAAGAACTATAAAATATTCTACTATAAAGACACTTGCGCACGTATGTTCATTGCAGCCCTGTGCACAATAGCGAAGACCTGGAACCAACCCAAATGTCCAACAATGATAGACTGGACAAAGAAAATGTGGTACATATACACCAAGGAATACTACGTAGCCATAAAAAATGATGAGTTCAAGTTCTTTGTAGGGACTTGGATGAATCTGGAAACCATCATTCTCAGCAAACTGACACAAGAACAGAAAGCCAAACACCATATATTCTCACTCATAGGGGGGTGTTGAACAAGAAGAACACGTGGACTCAGGGAGAGGAGCATCACACACTGGGGGCAGTTGCGGGTGGTCAGGGGAGAGACGGCATGGGGTAGGAAGGGAGGGGAGAGGTAACGGGGAGAAATGCCAGATATAGTATGCACCTAAAGTAAAATAATTAAATAATAAAAATAAATAAAAATTTTAAAAACCATAGAACGTGATGGTAGAGCTCAACCACGGGTGAGCTCTAATGTTAACTATAGACTTTGAGTGATAACTGTGTGTCAATGTAGGATCATCAATTGTAATAAATGCACAATTCCAGTGTAGAATATTGATAGTTGGGAAGGTTGGTGGGGACAGGGAGTATATGAGAAGTCTCTATACTTTCCATTCAATTTTGCTGTGAAGCTAAAACTCTTCTGAAAAATAGTCTATTTTTAAAAGAAAAAAAGAAAGAAACTCAACAGAGCAAACAAACAACCTATAGGGGAAGACATAACAGACACTTCTCAAGAGAAGACATAAAAATGGGCAACAAATATAGGTAAAGATTAACAGCATCACTAATCATCAAAGAAATGCACATTAAAACCATTGTGAGATACCATCTCCCACCAGTCAGACAATTTGACTTTTTAGTAATAGCTATTATTAAAAAGTTAAAAAAAAGAAAAAAAAAACATGCTGGCAAGACTGCAGAGAAAAGGGGAGGCTTATACACTGTTGGTGGAAATGTAAATTAGTCCAGTCACTGTAGAAAATAGTCTGGAAATTTCTTAAAGAACTTAAAAAAGAGCTGCCATTCGATACATCAATTCCATTACTGGGTATATATACAAAACAAAACAAATTGTTCTACCAAAAAGAAACATACACTCCTGTGCTCATTGCTGCACTATTCACAATAGCAAAAACATGGAATCAACCCAGATGCCCATCAATGCTAGACTGGATAAAGAAAATGTGGTACATATACACAATGAAACACTACTCAGCAATAAAAAAGAATGAAATCACGTCTGTTGCAGCAACACGGATGCAGCTGAAGGCCATTATCCTAAGTGAACGAACACAGAAACAGAAACCAAAAACAGTATATTTTCACTTATAAGTGGTAGCTAAATATTGGCTACACATGAACATAAAGATGGAAAAATAGATATTGGAGACTGTACTAGAGGTGGGAGAGAGAGACAGAGACAAGAGCTGAAAAACTAAGAAACAGGTCCTATGGTCAGTACGAGGATGATGGAATCCATCCTTCAAACTTTAGCATCATACAATATTATCAGATAACAAACCTGTACATGTACTCCTGCATATAAAATAAAAATTGGTATTTGTAATAAAAAATTATAAATATATACCTAGTAATTTCTTATCAGAAATCATGAAAACCAGAAGGCAGTAGGTTGACATATTCAGCGTGCTGAAAGAAAAGACTTTAGCAAAACTTATTTGCAAAAAAATTTTTCTAAAAACTTAAGATAATTTTAGATAAAAAAAACTAACACAATTTCTCACTAGCTGATGAAGTTTAGATCTGTGTCACCACCAAACTCCTAAATGTTACAGGTGAGGCTTGGATTGGAGGTGACCAGATCCTGGGGGCGGTTTCTCATAAATGGTTTAGCACCATCCCCTCAATATCGTTCTTGTGATAGTGGGTGAACTCTCACGAGATCTGGTTATTGAAAATTGTGTGTTACCTCCACTCCCTCTCTCTCTTGTTCCTCCTTCTCCCACCATGTGAGATGCGGTTGCTCCCTTTTGCCATTTGCCATGATTGGAAACTTCCTGATTCCTCTCCAGAAAAAGAAGCTGCTTCCTGTACTTCCTGTACTGCTTGCAGAACTGTAAGCTAATTAGGCCTCTTTTCATTGTAAATTAAACATTTTCAAGTATTTATAGCAATGCAAGAATGGACCAATACACTAGCAAATCAGACCTACAAAAAATACTAAAGTGATTCCTTCCTTCACACTGAAATGAAATGAAATGAAAGAACCTTATATATTTGAATCCCCAAAAGGAAATATAGAGCACCTTAAAAAGAATGATATAGTGAATATGAAAGAAGTAAAAACATATTTTTGCTTTTAACTTTTTTCTTCTGATTTAAAAGATAACTACATACAACAATAAGTATAAATTTACATTTATGAGAATACAATGTATTAAGATAAAATTGTGTAACAATAAGAATCCAAATAAAGCAGAGAAAAAAGCTATATAGAAGCAAAGTTTTGTATACTGTTAAAACTTAAGTTGATATTAATTTGAACTGTATTTTTATAAATTAATATCTTAAGGTTAATCTTCTGAGCTACCACTAGAAAATAACGAAAAAAATAGTAAAATAAATTTTAAAAATAATTTAAATGACATACTAGAATATTTCTAGTAGTGTGATAGTAGCGAAGAAATAGAGAAACAAAAGACATAAGATAGAACACAAATAATAAAATGGTGAGATAAAAATTCTACATTATCATTCATTAAATTAAATGTAAATGGATTGAGCCTTCCAATTAAAAAGTGGAAACAGCAAAATGGATTAAAAACATGACCCAACACTTGGGATTCAAAGACAGAAGCAGAACTCAAGTAAAAGAATGCCAAGAGAATATATCACACAAATATCCAAAAGAGACTATAATGGGTATACAGTAGTTCTCCTTTATCTGCTATTTCACTTTCCATAGTTTGCTACCTATGGTCAACCATGGTCCAAAAAGAGATGAGAACAGTACACTAAACTTTTTTGAGAGAGAGAGACAGATACCATGATCACATAACTTTTATTATATTATTATAATTTTCCCATTTTATTATTAGTTATTGTTCTTAATCTCTTACTGTGATCATGGGTTGAATTTTATTGTAAGTCTATATGTATAAGATAAAAGCATAGTATTTATAGTGTTCAGAATTATCCAAGGCTTGAGGCATCCATTGAGAGTCTTCAAACATATCCCTAACAGATAAGAGAGGACCACTATATTAATATAAGACAAAACAGACTTTAAGACAAAATATATTCCTAGAAAAAAAAGAACATTTATAATGAAAAACAGTCAATCCAGAAAAATACAATAATTAAAAATATATGCCCATATCAAGAAAGTCCCAAAATATGTGAAGCAAAAACTGTCAGAATTGAAAAGGTAGGCAATTTAACAATAATAGAGACTTCAACACCCTGCCTACAATAATTGACAGAAGCAAACAAAAGATTAAAAGAAAAATGGAAGACTGAAACAACACAAAATCCCAATTGGACCTAACAGAAAACTACAGAACACTATACCTCAGAACAGGAGAATACACAATCAGTTCAGGTGAACATGAAATATTTTTCAGGACAGACCAGAAATTATGCATAATAAAATCTTAGTAAATTTCAAAGTTTTGAAATAATACACCTCAGACATAGTCATCCAAAACCCCAATTAGGCCTAACAGAAAACTACAGAACACTATATCCCAAAACAGGAGAAAACACAATCAGCTCAGGTGAACATGAAACAGTCTCGAGGACAGACCAGAAATTAGGCATAATAAAATCTTAGTAAATTTCAAAGTTTTAAAATAATACACCTCAGACATAGTCATCCAGTATGATCCAATAAGCTATTAATTTGTTCATTCAATTAATTCTTTAATTATTTATTCATAAATAAATAAGAATATTTTATTCATATTTTATTCATAAATATTCACGAATAAAGTATGATGAATAAATATTCAGTTTATTCATCAGTATATCCTCAGCATCTGTGCTTGCATGCCATCGATACTTCCAGATGCATGCATTCTAGGACACTGTACTCATTAGATAAGTATTATTTACATTATTTAATTACATAGAACTGAATTTTGCCTCTACACATTGACATGAATTAGGCTTTCTGAATTCATTACAGATAAAGTTGAAAGATTTCACTACTGTCTCCATGTGATAAAACTAAATATTTAATGATAACCATCATATTCATATCTCAAACTTCTTCAACTACTAAACAAATGTTTTGTTCTCCTACAACTTCTTCTGGGTAAGAAAATGAATTCTTACTAGATACTTTGAACTAAAAACACAGTTGGTCCTAAACCAAGCCAGTTATGAGGAAGTGATATATTTCCAAAGAGTCTCCTAGCACCAACGATTAATTGTCTGTAGATGAGATTGTAAAAGTTGTGTAATATATTGATGATAAACCGAAGGATATGTTAGTGAAACATTATGCATGACTTTATCATGGCCATAGATACTAACAAGTGAAGCAAGCACAATACCCGGATAAAAGATAACAAGAAAACATGTCTAAAGTGAAAAAATGCTCTGCTCACTTATCTCATAAATGTAAAAAACAAGTCGGCTTATTGACATGGCTGAGGCAAAAACCTAGCATCTCTGGGTTAGTCAAACCCACTTCATGGCACATCCTTGACAGAATTATTAAAGGCCTTGATGATCCAGGAATAAATATATTTTCACGTTTTTGTCAAGGACTTTTGCTTCATTCCTTTTCCTCAAACTCCTCTAAATAAAAGGACACTGGAAGTGAGTCCTATGATTGTTTTGCTCATTGTTAATTCACCTTTGCAAATAGCATACCTAAATCTCCAGGTCTCTATGTAATTTTCTTAGCAATACAGGGCAGCAAAAATAGGAGCAAAATTTTCTGGCATTACCTATTAATATTTTATGACTGTGGGATAATTATGAGAAATTCTGACCACAAAGAGATAATGGTGCCTAATTCCAAAACAGCAATTGCAAGAATCTTCTGAGATTACATGTTAAACTAATTAATAATATTGACTTTTTTGCTTTAATTTTTTCCTAACCCACAGTGAGAAACTGTATTTAATAGCATTTAATCTTTAAACTAATATTTGTCAACTAATCAGAGGCCTTCTAAAATTCATCTCTTTGTCCTTAGATTATTTTGCTCTAATTTTATAACTTAATTTTTTTAAAAGAAGCCTTATCTTCCCAATTAAATTGAGAACTTACTGAAGATAGATACATTGCCTTATTTATTGACATATCTTTCACAGTTCCAAGAAGGCAAGCAAATGTTTACTGTCAATTGATGCAAATACTTTTCAAAAACTGTTCAATTTGACACAAAACATTTATTTTTTATCTCCAAAATGTTTAATTTAAACAAACTACTTGTCAGGGTTCTCAAAAGAAACAAAACCAATAAAGTGTGTGTGTGTGTGTGTGTGTGCATGCGTGTGTGTGCACACACACACGTGTGCATGTGGACAAAGATTTATTTATTTTTTATTTTTTTAACTATACTTAAAGCTTTGAGATACCCGTGCAGAATGTACAGATTTGTTACATAAGTATACATGTACCATGGTGGTTTGGTGCACTCATCAAATGCACCCATCAAACCATCATCTACATTAGGTATTTCTCATAATGCTATCCCTCCCCTGGGCCCTCACACCCTAACAGGCACTGGTGTGTGATGTTTACCTCCCTGTGCCCATGTGTTCTCATTGTTAAACTCCCACTTATGAGTGAAAATATGTAGTGTTGGTTTTCTGTTCCTGTGTTAGTTTCCTGAGAATGATGGTTTAGAGCTTCACCCAGGTCTCTGCAAAGGACTTAAACTCATTCGTTTTTACGGCTACATAGTATTCCACGGTGTATATGTGCCACATTTTCTTTATCCAGACTATCATTGATGAGCATTTGGGTTGATTCCAAGAATTAGCTATTGTGTAGTGTTGCAATAAATGTACGTGTGCATGTTTCTTAATAGTAGAATCATTTCTTATCCTTTGGGGGTATACCCAGTAATGGGATTGCTGGGTCAAATGGTATTTCTAATTCTAGATACTTGAGGAATCACCACACTATCTTCCACAATAGTTGAACAAATTTACACTTCCATCAACAGTGTAACAGTGTTCCTATTTCTCCACATCCTCTCCAGCATCTGCTGTGGCCTGACTGTTTAATGATCACCATTCTAACTGGCGTGAGATGGTATCTCAATGTGGTTTTGATTTGCATTTCTCTAATGACCCATGATGATGAGCTTTTTTCATATGTTTGTTAGCTGCATAAATGTATTCTTTTTAAAAGTGTCTGTTCATATTCTTTGCCCACTTTTTGAAGGTGTTGTTTTTTTATTGTAAACTGGTTTAAGTTCCTTGTAGATTCTGGATATTAACCCTTTTTCTGATGGGTAGATTGCAAAAATTTTCTCCCATTCTGTAAGTTGCCTGTTCACTCTGATGATAGTTTCTTTTGCTGTGAAGAAGCTCTTTCATTTACTTAGATCCCATTTGTCAATTTTGGCTTTTATTGCCATTGCTTTAGATGTTTTACTCATGAAGCCCTTTTCCAGTGCTTATGTCCTGAATGGTATTGCCTAGGTTTTCTTCTAGGGTTTTTATGGTTTTAGGTCTTACATTTAAGTCTTCAATCCATCTTGAGTTATTTTGTATAATGTGTAAGAAAGCGGTCCAGTTTCAGTTTTCTGCATATGGCTAGCCAGTTTTCACAACACACTTTATTAAGTAGGGAATCCTTTCCCCATTGCTTATTTTTGTAAGGTGTCAAAGATCAGATGGTTGTAGATGTGTGGTGCTATTTCTGAGGCCTCTATTCTGTTCCATTGGTCTATACATCTGTTTTGATACCAGTACTATTTCAATAGAGCAAGAAAAACAAATAAAAGGCATAAGGATTAGGAACGAAAAAATAATACTAGAACGTTCCTTACTTACAAATGATATTGTTAATTATGTGGGCTTCTCTATGTAAATAAATTTAAAAATTGACAAAATAACCACTTGAGCCAATAAATAAATTTAGCAAAGCCACAGATAAACAGTGTATATACAAAATAATTGTAGTAGCAACAAGCAATTGCACTACCAACAAACAATTAAAAATAAATTTTGAAGAATCCTATTCACGGTTGAACCAAAAAAACACAAGACATCTAGAAATAAATCTAACTAAAGATATGGATGTCTTCTGAACTAAAAATCTATATTGTTGAGAGAATTTGAAATATAGTTTAAAACAGTAATTCTCCTCAATGTATGTATATAGATTCAATGGAATCACAATCAAATTCTGAACGCATTTTCAGAGAAATTGATTATTTCATTCTACATTGTATATGAAAATGTAATATAATATCATCAAAGCAATTTTAGTGAAAACTGCTAAAAATTTAGTACTCAAGACAGCCTGGTATTTCAAAATGATGAATCTATACATGTATGAAACAGAACAGAGAGTCCAGAAATAGAACCAAATATATATGAGCAATTTATTTTAACAAATATGACAAGCTAATTTAATGAAGAAAAAGGTATTTTTAATAAGTAATGCTAAAAATAAAAATTAAACCTTACTGAAAATCATACAAAAATTACCTCAAAACAGATCACAGACTCAAATGTAAAACCCAAAATTATAACATGTGTAGAAGAAAATATTTAAAAATTGCATTGCCTAGGTTTACTTCTAGAATTTTTATGGCTTTAGGCCCTACATTTAAATCTTTAATCCAACTTGAGTTAAGGTGTAAGCAAATGTAAGGAAGGGGTCCAGTTTCAGGTTTCTGCATATGGCTAGCCAGTTTTCCCAACTGCCATTTATTAAATAGGGAATCCTTTCCCCATTGCTTGTTTTACTCAGGTTTGTCAAAGATCAAGTGGTTGTCGATGTGTGGTGTTATTTCTGAGGCCTCTCTTCTGTTCCATTGGTCTATGTATCTGTTTGGTACGAGTACCACGCTGCTTTGGTTACTATAGCCTTGTAGCATAGTTTGAAGTCAAATAGCATAATGCCTCCAGCTTTGTTCTTTTTGCTTAGGATTGTCTTGGCTATATGGCTCTTTTTTTGTTCCATATGAAATTTACAGTAGTTTTTTTCTAATTATATGAAGAAGGTCAATGGCAGCTTGATGGGAATAGCATTGGATCTATACATTACTTTGAACAGTATGGCCATAATATTGATTCTTCCTACCCACGAGCATGGAAATTTTTACCGTTTGTTTGCATCCTCTCTTATTTCCTTGAGCAATGGTTTGTAGTTCTCCTTGAAAAGGCCCTTCACATCCCTTGTAAGCTGTATTCCTAGGTATTTTATTCTCTTTGTGCCAATTGTAAATGGGAGCTCACTCATGATTTGGCTCTCTGTTTGTCTATTATTGGTGTATAGAAATGCTTGCGATTTTTGCACATTAATTCTGTATCCTGAGACTCTGCTGAAATTGCTTATCAGCTTAAGGAGATTTTGGGCTGAGACGATAGGTTTTCTAAATATACAATCATGACATCTGCAAACAGAGATAATTTGACCTCCTCTCTTCCTATTTGAATACCCTTCATTTATTTCTCTTTCCTCATTGACCTGGCCAGAATTCCCAATACTATGTTGAGTA